CTGCTGAAATGTGCCTCTTGTTATCAGGGAACTGAACTCAGAGATTCATCTACATTTCATGGAAGACAAAGATTAAGTACCCTTGTTGATGGGAAGTCAGCAGGCATATCTTAACCATATTACATTACATAACAAGAACAATGCTGGCACACCATAGGGACTTAAGAACAAACAGATGTCAACCAAAGAGAATTGCTGAGGCAAAGTATACAAAAAAAATAGGAGTTTATTTGGGCCAATTGAAGACAGCTACCCAAAAGCCATATCCAAGTTGCCTTCAATGGTATGCACTGAGGTCTTACAGATTTCTGGACAATATTTTTAATTAATATTTTTGTTAATATAATCATTGTTACAACATGATTTTTTCAGTACATGAATACAATGAGTAATTATTGCATCAGGGTACTTAATATATCTACTGTCTCAACTATGTGTAATATTATATTGCAGTAAGTTGTTAACCATATTCTACCCACCATATTTTATAACACTGGAGATTGTTCCTTATATCTATCTGCAATTTTGTTTCTATGAATCAATGTCCCTCTGCTCTCCCCATCATCCCATCCTTTAGTCATTTTATATTTCTCTACTTCTATGGAGTCATTTTTTTCCAATATCTATATATAAGGGAGAAAATGTGGTATTTCTTTTTGTACCTGGCTTATTTTACTGAACATAATGATGTCCGGGCTTGCCCACTTAACCTCAAAAACTAGATTTCATCTTCTTTTTTTTTTCTTTTTAATTTTGCTGTAGGGCACATGCACGCACCAGAGAGAAAGAGAAAGTGAGAAAGCATCCCTCAGGGCAGCATGGCCATGCTGCAATCCCTTCTCCTCAATTCTCATCTCAGGATTTTGGGTGCACACACACACACACATACACACACATGCTACCAGTGTGTTTTTCAAGTTGCAGGATCTGGTACTGAAGCCACGCAGTCAGGTATGTGGGATTCAGCCACCTTAACTACCATACCTCTTGATTGGCCCTGGATTTCATCTTTTTCAAAAGTTACATGTTATTCAATGTGTGTATATTCCATTCATGTTTTCCTTTTATTAGTTGATCAGCTTCTATATCTTGGCTCTTATGAACAGTGGGGTCATAAATATTGAGGTGCAGATATCTTTACAACCTACTGATTTCCTTTCCTTTGTATACATACCAAGTAATGGGATTGCTGGACCATATGGCATGGCAGTTCTACTTCTAGTTTCTTGAGGAACTTCCAAACTGTTTTCTTTGATGGCTGTACTAATTTATATTCCCTCTAGCAGTGTAAAAGAGTGCAAATTCAACACATCTTCACCAGCATTTATTATTTTTTGTCTTTTGGATAGTAGCCATTCAAACTGGAGTGAAATGATATCTCATTTTGGTTTTGATTGGCATTTACCTAATGATTGATGATGCTGAGCTTTTTTCATGTTTTTCTTGGCCATTTGTCTTTTTTTTTTTTTCTTTTTGCTATAGAGCAAGTGTGCTCATGGAAACACAAAGAGAGAGGCAAAGTGAGAAAGCATCTTCAGCCGGAGGTGTGGCCACTGCCACACCACAATCCCTTCCCCTCCATTTTCTCTCAGGATTTGGGGCATGCACACACATACATCTAGCATGTCTTTTCAAGCCAACCGAGTCCAGGACTTGAACCACACAGTCAACCATATGGGATCCAGCTGCCTTAACCTCCTACACTATCTTCTGGCCCCATTTGTATGTCTTTCTTTGATAACTATTTGTTCAGTTTTTTTCCCATTTTTTAATTAGTTTATTTGTTGTTGTTGCTTTTTGCCACTTAGGTCTTTGAGTTTCTTATATATTCTGGCTGTTAATCTCTTGTCAGATGGATAGTACTCAAATATTTCCTCTCATTCTGTTGTCTTTTACTCTGCTTATTTTTTCTTATGCGATGCAGATTTTTAGTTTGATATCATTATTTTTCTATTTTTGCTTTCATTGCCTGTCCTTTTGAAGTTTTACTCAACACTGATGCCCTAAAATGTTTCTCCTATGCTTTCTGGTACCTTTACAGATTAACGATTTATGTTTTAAGTCTTTTACCCATTTGGAGTTTATTTTTGTATGTGGTGAGAAATAAAATTCTATCTTCATTTTTCTTCATATGGATGTTCAGTTTTCCTAGCATCATTTATTGAAGAAACTGCCTTTACCCTAAAGGATTTTCTTGGCACCTTTAACAAAAATCAACTGTCGGGACCCAGCAGTTTACATGGTGGTTAAGGTGCTAGATTCCCACATAGCTGACCACCGTTCAAGTCCTGGACCCAGCATGTATGTTTGTATGCCCAAAATCCCAAGAGAAGAATGGAGAAGGGATTGTGGCATGGCCACTCTCCCCAGAAGGGGACAATGTGATTTCTCACTTTTTCTTCTTGTCTCTCTCAAGTGAACACATATGCCCTATGGCAAAAATCTAAAAAGTTAAAAAATCAGCAGGCAATATATATATATATATATGTGTGTGTGTGTGTGTGTGTGTGTGGATTTATTTCTGAATTCTCTATTCTGTTTGTCGTATTGGTATTTGTGTCTACTTTTCTGCCAACACCATGCTGTTTTTGCAATGATGGCTTTGTAATATATTTAGAAATAGAGAAGTATGATGCCTCCAGCTCCATTCTTTTTTGCTCAGAATTGTTTCAACTATTTCAAGTCTTTTGTGATGCCATAATAATTCTTGTTTCTATTTTTGTGAAGAATTGTTTCTATTTTTTTCATTGGCATTTTGATAGGTCTCACATTGAATGTTTAGATTGCTTTTGGCAGTACAGACATTTTAACAATATTGATTTTTCCAATCCATGAACATGGGATGTCTTTCTTTCCATGTTGTGTGTGTGTGTGTGTGTGTGTGTGTGTGTATCTTCAGTTTCTTTCACCAGTGCTTTAAAGTTTTCATCATAGAGCTCTTTCACATCATGAAATTTAATTCTAGGTATTTTATTTTCTTTGTAGCTATTGTAAAAGGGACTGATTTTTCTTTCTTTTTCAGCTGTTTCATTATTGATGTATAAAAACATTACTTTTTTTTTTTTTTTTTTTAGTTTTTGCTATAAGGTGTGTGTGCTCACCAGAGAGAGAGAGAGAAAGAGAGAGAGAAAGAAAGTTAGAAAGCACTCTAGGGGGGATAGCCACACCACAGTTCCTTCTCCTCCAGTCTCCTCTTGGGAATTTGGGCATGTTTGGTGTGATTTAGAAGCTGCCACATCTAGGATTCATACCACACAGTCGGCCATGTGGGATCCAGCCACCTTAACTTCCACATCACCTACTGGCCCAAAAATGTTACTGACTGCTTAAATTTTATGAATTTTTAATAGCCAGAGGGTACAAGCACTTGCTGAAGAAAAACAGAAGAGGATGAGGAGGGGGAGAAAGTACCCCTCAATGTGTGTGATCACACCACAATCCCTTCTTTTCTCTATCTCTGTTTTTTTGAGACTTGGGGCATACATGCACAAGTGCCCAGCATGTCTATTAAGACACAAAGGTCAGGCTTTAACTGTGGTTGGCCATGTGGGATCCAACCCTCTTAACCACTAGGTTGTGAGACCAGCCCAGTGCTATTGACTTTTGTATATTAGGCTTGTATCCTACAACTTCACTGAATTTATTAGTCCTAAGAGTTTTTCTTGAGGTGTCTTTAGGTTTTTTGTATGTAAGATCATATCACCTGCAAATAGGAACAATTTTACCTCCTCTTTTCTATTTGAATACCCTTTATTTCTTTCTCTTGCCTAATTGCTCTGGGTAGGACATCTAATACTATGTTGGTAAGAGTGATGAAAGTGGGCATCCTTGTCTTGTTCCAGTTCTTAGCAGAGAAGGTTCCTGCTTTCCCCCATAGAGTGTTAAATTAGTTGTAGTTTTGCCATATATGGCCTTTATTATATTAAGGTACATTCACTCTATCACTAATTTGTTGAGTACTTTTATCATAAAGAATGTTGAATTTTGTCAAATGCTTTTTCTGCATATATTGGGTTTTTGCCCCTCAATATGTTTATTTGGTGTATCACATTTAGGGAGTTGCATACGTTGAACCATCCTCATACCCTTGGGATAAATCCTACTTGGTTACGGTATATAATCTTTTTCATGTGTTTTTGGAGTCAATTAAACATGTTTAATGAAGAGGAAAACAAGGTCTATCGGATCTGAAAAATAAAGAGCAAGGATAGAAGTGGAAAGAGGTAAAGTTAGAGAAGTTAGGCTGGGATAAAATTCTGGAAGATTTCCTTAGGTCAGTGTAAAGCCATTGTAGTCTTTTAAGCAGGACTGATTTGATTTATACTTTTACAAGACATCTGCTGAAAGGAGAGTAGATTGAAAGTGCAAAATAATGAAATCAGCAAGGACAGTTAAGAGGCTATCATAGTAATCCATTGAAGCATCACAGTGGCTTGTGCTAGGGTAGTTGCATTGGAGAAGGAGATAAATCAGAGGATCCAAAGATACACTTTAGAAAGACTCAAATTGGTCTCCTGTTCCAAATTCCATGCCCTTACAGTATAGCACAGTATCTCTGAATAGCATTACAGTATAAGAATAATTATTTTACCTTCATGTTGCTATTTAAAGTATTCATCCCCAGGAATTACTTTAATTACCTCCTACTCTTCCCATTGGTGGATTCTCATTCTAGGTTTATAGAGATGGTCAAAGGCATAATACCTAACACTAGACAATGAGAGTGCCAGCAATTTAGTAATCATTAATCATAGGCCAGGGGAGGAGGACATAAAATACCACCATAGGGAAACACTGGGGCAGAGTGAATAACCAGGGCCTGTAGGAGGCTTTGTAGTAACAAGAGGGTGAGGTGACCCCTAGTTCATTCAGGAGGATATGGGCAATTTTTACGAATTATTGTATGGTCCAGCAAGGAATGGAAATCTACAGACAGGGATAAATAGTAACTCTGCTGGTACTATTGGTCAGGATTATTTGGCTAGAAGATCTCATTTGCAAATAAGTGAGGAGAAGAACCCCTATTTAGGCCATTCAAGATTCTCCCAGTTTTGAGACCAGCAGGTAGAGAAGGTGCTGGACTCCCACTGGCCAACCACTGTTTGAGTCTCAGACCCAGTGGCTTGAAACTCATGCCAGGCATGTGTCCATGCGTGCCCAAAATCCCAAGAGGAGAATGGAGGAAAAGGGATTGCAATGTGGCCATCTCCCCTGAAGAATGATTTCTCATTTTCTGTCTCTTTTTCTCCAGCAAGCATACATACACTACAGCAAAAATCTCCCTAAAAAAAAACAACAACAACAACAAAAAAACACTCCCAGTTTCACCAGATGTAAAGGCAGCACATAATAAATCCATGTATTCTTCAGAATATGTTATTTAACCAATGGGAAGGAGGAGAAATGATACTACAAATCAAGAAACCTGGGTTCTTGTTCTCCACTTATCCCTAGTTGTGCATGTGATTTAATCTATTAAACTTCAATTAATCTGGTCAGCCCTGTGACCTGACAACTAAGGGAGCTGGATCCTACATGATCGACTGCACAACTAGAATCCCAGCCTTTGTGGTTTGAAAAACACACTGGACACATGCGTGTGCATGCCCCAAATCCCCAAGGGATAGAGAAATGGAGGAGAAAGGATAACATTGTGACCATGCCCCACTAAAGGATGCTTTCTCCCTGTCCCTGTGTCCCTGTCTCTCTGTCTCTCTCTGCAAACACACATGCTGACATGCTGTCTGGAAAAGAAAAAAAAAGCTACAAATTCTTCATCTAAAAATTAGAAAAGCAGATGATCTCAAAATTACTTCCTCAATCCTGTAACATTCATAGTTACAATTTAATGCTCTCTTAACACCGAACATGCAAGCTGACTTAGTGATGGAGTCTTAAAACTTCAAAGCCCTCCTTTCTCCAAGTAAAGGCTAATCTTGCATAGGGAAATTCTTTGAGGGAACAATACAAAGAACAGATATTAAATACTTGATGCAATCTTTATGGTTTGATTTGTTGCAGGACACATTCATATCTCATACTGTTACACAGAGTTTTGCCATGGGATCAATTTCACCCCGAGATTTTATCGACTTAGTACACATCCAGCGCTACGAAGGGAATATGAACATTATCAGTTGTAAGTTGAAACATCTGGCACACATTTGGGAATTACTATGAGTCATTGATAAACTTTCTTATAGTTTCTTTCAAACTGTATTTTCAGTTAGTTCATTTATATTTCTTTCTTTACTCAGTGAGAACAACAAGTACATGAATCAGGTAGACATGCCTGATATTTAACCCAAATCTGTAGTTGCATTTTATGTAATAGTCAGTGACATGGCATTTTCTGGACTTTTCCAGACTGTATCCTGCAATGCTAAGTATAGATAGATACTTACAGGCTAAAAATCTCAAGGAACATTTTTTTTTAATTCTATGAAACAATATTAATCATTAGATACAGAATTTTATGTTTAAATTGCCTAGAATAAGAAGATCCAGTAACGAATAAAACTATTGAGGAAATTTCTGCTAAGTGGATCTTTATATAAAAGTGTTTATATTTCTTTTATAAGCTAGAGTTTTTGATATATCCATAGCCACTCCCCTCTCCAAATGGGTTAGTCTGTAAAATGAAAATGTAACCGTTCAATAACTTGCATTATTGACTCAAAATACTATTTCATACCATAAAGATCTCAGGACTCAGACAACTTAAGATAACTCACAGTGAGGGACTATGGGAGAACAGAGGCATAAAGCCCTGTTTTTCTCTATAATTTGATTTAATTTCACTATTTCTATCTGAATAGTTTCCCTTACTATAAACTACTTGTGAATAGAGACAACAAAGTTTTGTTGATTACCATTTCCCAACAAGGTTTCAGTTACTCTGAGAAGTCTGAGGCCAGACTGAGTCATAGCACTCACTCAGACTCAGCTCTGCCTTACCCATATGCCAGTAGGGGCCAATGTTGACAACATTCATGTATGTTTAGCTGTCTCAGTTTCAGATGAGGGCACATAAAATTTATTTACTGTCTATAACACAAATTACTGTCTGTCTGAACCATAGATGTGTTGTTATCCTATTTTCAAAGCAGACCATTTCTGTATCATTATTAGGGGTAGGAAGGGAACTAAAAAAAGTATACAGAGATTAAAATCAACAGCTAGAAGTAATCAGTCATTCAGTGCACAAGTCACTACTAAATTTGCTGTAAGAAATCTCCACTGAGTGAATTTTTAATGAATACTCAGTTTTCTTCTCATGTGTCTTTCTTTTTTTTTAACACCTACTCTGCACTTAGTTTTGAGCCAAATATTTTGCATACATTATCTTACTAATGAGAAAACTGATGTTTACAGAAATTAAGCAGTTAATTTTACATAGCCAATAAACAGCTGAACAGAATTAAAACTCAGATCTTTCTGATTTCTGAAATTAAATATTAACTCCCACGCTATGTGCTTCACAAAAGAACCATGCCTGTTTGCAGACTATAACAGATTTTTTTAAAAAAAAGAAAAGCAGAACCAGCAGATGGCATGCTGGCTATGTCACTGGACTCCCACATAGTTGATCACGGTTCAAGTCCACACCAGGTGCATGCGTGTGCATGCCCAAAATCCCAAGAGGAGAATGGAGGAGAAGGAATTGCTGCTTGGCCATCCCCCTGGGGGGTGATTTTTCACTTTCTGTCTCTCTGGTGAGCATACTCACCCTATAGCAAAAATCTCTCTCAAAAAGAAAAGAATAATCTCCATATTTTCAAAAGAAAAAAATGTAATATCACATCAGCAGTACATCAAGCCAACATAATAGGCTGTGCTAAGATAATGATACAGGTCATAAACATGAAAAATTCATTCAACTACATTAGTCTCCTCAACTATTGCTTCACATTGCACATATACCACAAAATTAATGGCTTATGTTAAAATCATACTTTAAATTCATTTTCTCTGGCAAAAGCAGAATTCAGTTGACAGAATACATACATTTTTAAAATAGTTTTAGAAAAGTCTCATATAAAATTATCATAAATTTCATTAAAATCAAAGCACCTTCTTTTGCATTCATATACAATATAATATGGATATCATGCTGTAATTCTTAAACTCTATTGATCTTTATTATACTTTGGGTTATCTACAAAGGAATTGGAAAAGGGGTATTTTAAACTATCTTTATTGACAAACCATCTAACTATTCAAGCATTTTATTAAAAAAAAACATTTAAAAAAATTATTTTATTTAACTTTACTCATTTATTTATTTTAATTTTACCAGAAAGGGACAGAGAGAGAAAGAAAGAGAAAGTGAGAAAGCAAGTCACCAGGTCCAACACTCAACGTGGTCAGCCATGAGGGAGTCCAGCACCCTTAACCGCCACGCCACCTGCCTACCTCTCCAAGCATTTTATTTAAAACCAACAAACAAGAAAGTATGAATCCATGACTGTAATAGGATAGTCTTATTCTTTGTGATTTTTTTCTTTTGCCTCAAATCTCAGAAAGTAATTAAATAATACTTTTAACAGTTTTTCTTGTATACAAACAGTAACAGCATCTTAAGAAATAATAGCAAGAAAAAGTTTGAGAGGACAGTAGTACTCATACTGGCATTCTCTCAAGTTCACATATGTGTATGGGCAAATAAACACATGTATAAAACTAATGTTAATGCTGACGACTGAGTTAAATGCAATGCTATATCATACATTTTTAGAAATATGCTACTGTAAATATGTTGTTTATTTTTGTGGAGTAGGTTTCATTTTAAATTTTTTTAATCACTTAGCTAAAAGTGTCAATTTTCCAGAATATCCTCCATCTCCAAATTATATCCGTGGTTATAATCATCCCTGTGGCTATGTATGTTCACCACTAAAAGAGTAAGTGTTATTTGCATTTATATAATAGTTTTTTTAGTTCAACCTGTAATATAGTTCAAGATTCCTGGCTCATCATTAGAACTGTGTGCCAGCAGGGACCAGCAGTTGGCATAATGGCTACATGACTAGACTCTTATGTAATCGACTGCAGTTCGAGTCCCAGACCCGGTGGCTTAAACTCACACTGGGCGCGTGTGCGTGCATGCCCAAGATCCCAGGAGGAGAATGGAGGAGAAAGGATTGCGGCGTGGCCATCCCCCCTGGGGAGTGATTTCTCACTTTCTGTCTCTCTGTTTCTCTCTGTCTTTCTGGCGAGCACACGCACCCTATGGCAAAAACCTCTCAAAAAAAAAAAAAAAGAAAAAATACTGTGCCAGCATATTCTATTGGGGAAAAAAAAACTAACCCTAAATATGATTTTTAAAATAACTTTTTATGCTTGTTTTCATCTGAAGTATAATCAGAATGGATAAATATATATAAAATATGATATGAGGTTTCTGGGAGTAGTCAAACACACATAAACATTTCTCTGCAACAAAATTTTCCTGGTATTTTCTATTTCTCTATTAGAGAAATTATACAAATTATTCAGAAAAGTTAAAGATAACCTTTTCTGGTCAGCAGGTGGCATAGCAGGTAAGGCACTAGAATCCCACATGGCTGACCGCTGCTCAAGTCATGGATCCAGTGGCTCGAAACTCATACCAGGAGCATGTGTGTGCATGCCCAAAATCCCAGGAGGAGAATAGAGGAGAAGGAATTGTGGCATGGTCATCCTGCCTGGCGGGTGCTTTCTCACT